TTCACATAAGAAGATACCTAAGCATTCTCTTGGCCAGCATCAACATCATGCCCGGCAAAAAATCCCACCCATCGCAAAATGCGCCTTCAGGTCAAAAGCCTTCCTGGACAAAGAAGAAGCTCTCCAAGACAACGAAGCCCAAGAAAGCATCTGTTGAGACGCCAGAAGAGGAGCCCGCCACTCCAGAACTCCCCCTGGTTCTGCAGCAGCGCATCCTGGACATCTTCCGCAATACCTTCGCCGACCTTTTCGTCGCCGCTGCAACAGAGGAGGACCGCGACGCCTTCGTCCTGACACCCCTGCTTCAGGAGATCAAGGCTGCCCTCTTCGCCCGTGACTTTGACGCCGCCTTCTCCAACGCCCGCCCGGCGCTCCTCGACGCCTACGCCGCTCGCTGGAGTCCGACCCGAGCCCTGGCCTACGCCGCCGCGCTGACCGGACTCACAGAGCACCTCGAGGCCCTCATGCTGCCGGTCGAGGAGGCGTCTACAGAGGACGCCGAGGTCTCAGGGGCCCCCGAAGGTCCAAAGAAGAACCTCAGAGTGGTTTCGTTCGGCGGCGGCGCCGCCGAGATTGCCGCCTTCGCCGCCTACCTCCACTTGGTCAACGCGCCCAAAACTCCTGAGGACAACGGTGAACCCCTGACGGGCACCATCGACCTCGTCGACTCAGCGCCCTGGGGTCCCGTCGTCGAGGCCCTGCACGGGAGCCTCACAACCCTGCCAGCCCTGTCCAAGTACGCGAGTGCCGTTGCCAAGGCCACCAACGCGGCCCTCGTCGACCCGGGCCTTCTCTCCTCCGCCTTCACCCATGATAACGCGCTCACCATGTCCCGCAACCAGCTTGCTGGTCGACTCGGAACGGCGAATGGCGACGGAACCCCCCTTCTCGTCACGCTCCTGTTCACTCTCAACGAGCTTTACACAACAGGAGGCATCGGCAAGACAACGGCCTTTCTCATGAATCTCACAGCTACCGTTCCCGAAGGCTCGCTCCTTCTTGTTCTTGATAGCCCGGGGAGCTACTCTGAGGCCGCTGTCGGTAAAGAGTCGAAGAAGTATCCCATGCACTGGCTAATGGATCACTGCCTCTTGAAGCCGGAGCAGAGGGAATCAGCGCAAAGCACGGGCGGCCGGTACTGGGAGAAGATTGACTCTCAGGATTCAGTTTGGTTTCGCCTGTCCGAGTCGGTGACCTATCCCATCCCGCTCGAGAACATGCGGTATCAATTGCACCTCTATCGAGCTATAAGGTCATGAAAAAAATAAAGAAAGAAAAGCGAAGCGAGCAATGAGCAGAAAGGGGAGAGCATCGCTTGACGTCATCCCACGAAAGACCCATCAGAGTCCCATGATGCGTATCGCCATGTCGATATGATTCTTCCCAGCAAGGCTTTCTAACCGCCCTTTCCCCACCACTCGACTATCACTACGCCCAAACAAGCTTCTTAATAGAGTGGCTCAGCTGGTCTAAAATCGTCGTGTTTGCTCGTGCGTCCTCCAATGAGATGATGTCACCCCTCTCGATGATGCTCTTGGTTCCAGGCACGTACTTTCCAGGCTGCGCTTTGAAGGCCAGTCTCTCGACATCAGCACAGATACTAACCACCTGCTGTGTCTCGCTCAAACGTGGCCCTTCACCCGTCACCGCGGCCGACGACTGCGAATACGGCGCCTTGAAGGCAAGCTTTCGAGTCGGCGTTTGGGGTTTGGGTCGATGACCGGACAACAGTCCCATCAGCCCCGAGGGCGCCGCGGGCTCGTCGACCGCCACCGTGGCCGATGACTCTTCTTCGGCCTGACCAGGTTGTTTGACAAAGTTGCTCGAAAGCGTACGAGTATTTGTGCGTTGAATGTCAGTCTTTCCAGGCTGATATGACACCACGAACCCAATGTTCTTGCTTTCGTCGGTGTGACCAGGCGAAACGGTAGATGTGATGTAAGTACCGAAGCGAATACCTACGATATGCGCAAGGTCGATGCGTTCGAATGACGATACCTTGTCAAGCTTCCAGTCAAAGCGACAGAGATACAGGGCAGCATCTGTAAGAAGGAGAATCACTTCTTCGAAGGGTATCTGTGACTTGACAACGTCAGACGTTGGAGGGCTCAGCATGACCCACCCGCCAACAAAGTCCTCTTTCTGGTCTGAGATGACGCGTTTCTGGCATAATTCGATAGCTGATTCACGCATCTTGAGCATCGACATGGCGGGATCTTTCGTCATCATTTCAGCTTCGAACTCTTGAAAGACCATTGAAGTAACGTTGCCAAGGAGGAAGTCAATGGCAGCTTGACTGAAATAGTCATTGACCATGCTACATCTTGTGTTAGCGAGATCTCCCAGATAGCCCTTGGACAAGATTACCCGTTGTAAAATCTTGTCAATGAGAAGCCAAGATCATTGAGCATTCCTCTGTAGTTCCGAGTCTTGTACCGTGTGTAGTCACCTTTCATGGCTGCCGTAGAAGCGCTGGAGCACCATCAGTTCAACGAGTGTCAGTTGCTTTCGCGGAGTTTGACTTACTACTGCTTCGACACGGAGTCTCCGTTGTCCGCCCACAGCGTGTTGAACCATGCGGATTGCTGGTCTACTTGCATGCTCAGATCGTATCCCTCAGCCTTCAGCTGTGATTCCAGCATGTACTTTGCAAATGAGCTCTGGCAAACATTTGTCCGGTCGAGACAGTCCATGCAGTTTGTCCGAAGCACTCCACGTTGACGGAGGAACAGCTCTCCATCCTTTTCGACAGTGCTCCCAAGCTCATCAAGCTTGGTCCTCATGGCATCCAGCAGGAGGCTGACGTTTTCGAACTTCATCCCACGACAGGCTGCGTGGAAATCAAACCATTCGAACGGGACTTGCGAAGTATGATCGCTGAAGACGGTTTCGTTCAGCTTTACAACAGTATTCTGGTATTCGTTGCCGATTGTAGCCTCAACATTATGTTTTTCCACCAAGTTGACCACTTGCAGCATACCATATTCTCGGTGGAGGCGCTCAAAGTGCTTCTTGGAGGCTTCAAAATTTGCCTCTGTGGAGTGTTGTATGACTGGTGCAGGTTTCAATGAGTAGGGGCTCTGGGTGAAGAATAGGGGTATACTGCCGCGAATCTGCAGGAACGAATAAATTTTAGAACTCTGATCCCACGAAGAGTTAGACAGAATTTGCTCCGTCTCAACAGCGTTGGCCACATGGCCATCCTCATCAACACCGCGGCGCAGGTATCGGAGGCCGGCTCTCTTGATGGACCGCCGAGAAATCACCGTAATCAGGAACTTCTTTTCCGAACCTCGGAGATCCAGGGAGCCGCGGATCGCTTCTGCAGGGGGCGACCCTGGCGGAGATGTTGGAGCAGACATGTTTGACATTTCCAGTGCATCATTCGCGTCTTCGTCATGCTGCGGTGGGCTTTTATCCATGATAAACTCCCTCTGCCCGACGAACCCCTGCATGAGTGGGAGAACTAGCGCATCGTTTCCGGAATCAATGAACGGCTGAGAAGTATTTCGGTTCCAGAAGAATGTAGGTTCGACGCGACGGTATAGCGGCAGCTCATCAGATGGAGATTGTGCTCGAGTCGCCCAGTGCCTGGTAATGTCTACGTCGTACGAGAAGAAGAAGCTCCTAGATGACCCGTAAAGGATTTGCGCGGTTCGGAGCAGTTTGGGAAGTAGAGATGATGCCTTTGCCTCGTTGACTCTGTCGTCCTCTTCTTCTAGAGGCACCTTCGATGCCGCCGGGGGCTCCAGGTCCGGTCGCTGGTCCATCGAAGCTCGAGGCGACTCGGTCGTCGTGTAGCTCCAGCCAGCGTTGCGTTTCTGGCCCTGCATCCAGCCGGAGCTGCTGAACCAGCGCTGAGCGAATCGACCATAGCCCCCCTTACGACTCATGACGTCTTCAGCGACGGTGCTCTTAACGCCTGCTGAGATGGAGCCCTCTGACTGCGTCTGATCGTCGACCTCATCGGCAGCGTGGGCCATCAACTCGATGGTACTATCGCCGTCCGAGTCCTCTGTGTCCGTGTCATCAGTACGGGTCTGCAGTTGCATGGAGGTCCGATGAACGGCATCCTCGGCTTCCTGACGAGAGGCGCATGGCGTGATCGCAACCTCGGTGACAACGTAGATAGGAAATCCTAAAATTTGAGCGACCTGGTGTCGACGGGTAATTGTGATGAGAAAATTTAGTTTTGAAAGGGTAATGAGGCCTGTGAGAGAGAGAGAAAAGGTCAGACGCCTGCTCCAGAGAGGGAAGCTCTTGCGATGTCAACAAACCCACAACACCAAAAGCCTCGAACGAGGTGTTGGGCTTGGTGAGATCAGGGAGTTGATCCCGCGGCGCTGGGGAAATGGCGCCGTCCCCATATCCAATGCGGACGGGCTGCGCAGGGCGCTGTCCTTTGGAGGACAGAGGCTGTACGATGAGGCCGTCGATCGCCGCGCAAATGACGACCTTGCGAGCGATGCCGGGCATTGCGGCGGGGTTTGTGCCAACAAGGGTGCGAGTGAACAAAACGACTGTGGGACTAGACTCTGACCGGGTAGACCTATGCCAGGTAAAGTTCCATTGTCAGCCCAATCGTATCTGCGCCAGTCCCCTGCTCGTGTCAAGTCCAGTCACCGTGATGTTGAACTGTTGAAGTCTAGCCACTGGGCTGTAGAAAGCACGCAGCGAGAAAGGTGGGTGAGGCAGGTAGGTGAGGCAGGTAGGTAGTCAGTCAGGTCGCGACTGACATTCGATGACATGACGTACAAACTTTTTGCACCGACCGTGCGTAGCCTGGCCCTGCACTGGCAATTTCGTCAATGCGGTACCACCTTTCCTGGATCTCCAACACGACCCCAACTAATTGAGCCCTTGCTTGTGACGGGCCAGCCCCGGTACCGTTACAAACAGCAGCTCCGCTTCCATCGTCAAACTGTCATTACCACATGCAGAGAAAATGGGGGGTCTTGCTTGGCTTGAGTATTTCAATTCATTATTCCCTCAATGGCATTGTCAAAGTCGGGTATCATATTAACATGTATTAAAAAGTAGTAAACCCCGTATGAGCCTGGCTCAAGCCATCGAACAAGTCGATCCGAGGCATGCCAGCATGCTGAATTACCATGTGTCCGCTATTCCGCGCGGTCTGTCTCTCTCTCTCTCTAGGATCGTGTCACGTCATCCCGTCTTTCGAAACGTCGCGGTGCTCAGTTGAAAGCCCTTTTAATCGTCCTTCTTCCTCTGAGGGATGGGTTCGCCCTTCTCATCGACGAGGCCCTTCTCACGCATGACCCTGAGAGCATCATGTAGAGGATCCAGTTCGGGACGGGGCGCGCGGTGCGAATCGAACGCATTGTCAGCCCATGTGAAGTACTGTCCGTAGTTGACGTTGAAGTACAGGTGGTGCAGCGTGTGATGTGCAGGGCTGTTGATGTACTTCTCGAGCCAGTGGCCGGAAATCATGTCACCGTCATGGATGAAGATGGTCCAGATTTGGACGAGGATGAACAGAATCAGATACAGGTGCTTCTGCACGGGACAGAGGAACACAAAGGCGCTTGTCGAACGGTCAGTACTGGGTCAAGCCGGGTCAGGCTGCACTTTGCAGAAGAGGAACTGACTGATACGGCAGAGATTGGACATAGCCGTCAAGAGGGTGAAAGGCCAGAGCTGCCCAGGGCGTGGGCACTAAAACAGGTCAGACTTTGCAGCATGCGATGAGCGTGAGAAGCAAACCCACTGATCCACTTGTGATGAGGTTTGTGAATGTACTTGTACACACTGGGATGGTGCTCGAGACGGTGAATCCAGTAAATGAGTAGGTCGTTCCAGATCATGAACAGGACTGTCGATTTGGCCATCCATGTCCAACCGTAGTCGCTGACATTGCTGTAGAGGAAGCTCTTGCCACGAACTTCGCCCAGGAACCACGGCAGGGTGAGAATGTTGATGAAAGGCACGGCCCACATTGACGATGCGATTTCCTGGCGCACCTGGTTCTTCAGAAAACGTGGGTGGTACTCAAGGCGACGGTCGAATACGAAGTAGTATGAGAATGCGCTGAAGATGAAATACAGTAGCGAGGCGCCAATCTGTGTGATCAGGAGGATCGAGGTGCACTGGCGTAGGATGTTGTCGCGTGCCCATGCCGACTCGTAGACCGCCGACGACAGCGACTCCGTGGCGTTAGGGGCCGTTACGGCTGGGTGAAAGTAGGCGTAGGCCCTGTCAAAGACCAAAGGGTCAAGGATCTCCAGAGCAGCGTCCATGGCGAGGCAATGCGCGCGTTTGGCGATGGTCTTGTCTGGTGGTCGAGCGAGAGTTTGCCTTTGCTAGCCTCGATGGTTGAGTCTGAAATGTTTTCTTTAATTGAGATTGAGTTGAAGCACTGCCCACCGAGCGTGACGGACCCATTCTCGGAGGTAGTAGCAGCCCGTCGTACGAGGCACCCTCTTTTTTTTTTTTGCCCCTGAATCACATTTTAGTGGAGCCCTCGGCAACGATGGAAATGAGGATGCCAATTCAATACTTTCGTGCCTCGCCGCTGCTTATTAAGAACCACCTGCCTCAAGTGGCGTGTTCGGTTGCTCAAGTTCCGTGCCATTGCCTGATGTCCGTGAGACGTCTGGCACGTCATTCACCAGAGTCGTCTGATGGTTTGCCTCAGAGCTTATGTCCCTCCGGGATCTGCTACCCCCCCAAGCCCCCGACGCCGAAGATGTAACCTTCGGCTCTCGTAGGGGATCGCCGAGATTGGGGCCGGAATCCGACAACACGTAACATTGGCGTGCATCGCGAAGCCGAAGGCTGTAAACCCCGGTCTCACCCCGGTTTTAGTCCTTCTGGAAAGGAATCCCAGGAACTCCTGTCCGTGATACGCCTAAACCCAATCATCTACTGGGACCACCCTCCACTGCAGTTCATGTTGTGCAAGTTGTTCGACTAAGGTGATAGGTCCTCGCTTTGCGCCGTAGTTCGCTCGGTCACTTGTGCTCAAAACAATGGGGAACAGGGCTGACTACCAGAGTCGGATTATTAGCGGGCTCCCTATCCCTTACATGGTTCCAAATTGCCGTTTCGGGTCAGCCTTTCTTGATATCTGAACATAGAGCGAGCTCAGACACCAAGATCTTCGTCTTTTAAACATTTGGGAGCCTGATCATGACCGCCAATTGTCACCGAAAGCTGTGGCAATCGCGCGACTGATTCATACGTTATCTGGGCTCTGCACGTGGTAGATAAATGTGCATCATACCGGTTTCTGTCAAATGATATCCTGCTCGATAGTTTGACATGGCACACTTTCCGACAAGACATTCGCTGCAACAAAGCGAAGACTGCTCTGCAAAGTAGCCTAGAGCATTGAGCATCATTGATGTGCTGCAAATACTGGGTTCATAAACGTGGAACGGGAGTTTCAACCCATTTCACATGTCCAGTTCGGCGGGACCCACCCACATCTTGCTCCTTTGTGCTCACAACAGGGTGCCTGCCGTCAAAGGTTATGAAAGTGTGTTCCCAATGTTATCTCATCAGACGCCAGTTCCTTTTGCACTTGGAGGGCTTCAAACCTCTCGTCTTCCCAAGCTGGTGTTTCAGTCTCGAATTCAAGCCCCAAGGCCACAGCCTGCCTGAAGGGTTGAAGCACTACACTCGTGGATCCTTGAAGTACCAAGGTGTGCTAAAAAAGGCTTTGGGGTACACGTCCCAGTGTAAAGAATGACCTCCAGGTGGTTGTAGCTTAACAGGGGTGGTATGCCACTCCATCGTCCCTGACTACACGGTCAAGGTGGTTGCTTCCTCTCCTATGAGAGTGGCATCTTCGGAGCTTCGAGTAGGTTATTTCCTGCAAAACCACGCCTTGTAGGTAGGTATCTTACTGGAAGAAATTCGCTGATGAATCATATGTTGATGCGGTTTCCTATGCTCTTCACGCGCATGGCGCTCCGACTGGTGCGTCCATGATAAGTACAAAGCCTAGATAAAATATATCTGGCACATTACATACAGCGCAACTTGGCCGTGCGCCAGTGAGGTATAGACCGTCCATTTATAAATTCACAAGCGATGCGAGGTTCCCAGACTTGGTGGCTTGTATTCCTTGACTGAGCCAACTACTGCCTGTTCAGGTTCCCTAATACGCAGCAAAAAGTTTCACATCCCTGCACGTAACAGGTGGCCTTGACAGGCTTCGTATGACCCTAGCATTCCAATCCCAACGCCGTTGATTTGTGGGTATCTTAGATAGCAAGGCGCTCAACCTTCTCGCGAAGGGTGCGGATGGAGTTGGCAAGCTCGCTGCCCTCGTTGCTGGTGATGCTAGCGGCGATAACAGCACGGCTGACACCGCAGGCACGGCCCAGAGCGATCTTGCTCTTGACGTAAACGTAGGGAACGTCTGCACATTGTTAGCATGTCGTTCTGGAACTCTGTGGGTTCGTCCAGGTAAGACTTACTCTTGTCCTCGCACAGAAGAGGCAAGTGAAGCAGGATGGCGAGAGGGGTAGTGTCGGCAGCGAGAACGATGAGCTCAGAGACACCACGGTTGAGAGACTTGGTGGCCTCGTTGGCGCCCTTCTTCAGCTGCCGGTAGTGCGAGCACTGCTGAACCATGTCGAGGAGCTCCTGCTCGAGGGCAGCGTCGGCCAGGGGCCAGGCAGCGCTTTCGGAAGCCATTTTTTGGTCGTTCGGAGTGCTCGAATAAGTTCTGGGAAATGTAGCGCAGGGTTCCTTGCGGTGGCTCGCCCTGTTCAGATATACTGGAAGTCGTTGAAGAAGTGATGCTCGTGATGCAAGAAAAAGCTGCATGGTATGGCCTGGGAAAAAAAAAAAATCCCACTATGAGAGACGCCAAGCTCCACAATTGGATGGTGCTGTGGTGGGGCACACAGACTCGGAGAAACATAATATCCGGTTGCCGCGGATCTTAGGTCAGCAAGGAGCTTCCCGCAAAACCTGCACCAAGCAAGGCGCGCCAGCCTGGAATCCAGACATCAATCAAGCAACCTCACAATAGCAGCCGAGCCTCCAGCCAACCAAGGTCCCGTCAACAAGCAACTGCAACCTTTCGAAGTCCCGACCCGAGCCATCTCCCGATCTTCGCGAAGCTCTCCTTTACATTTCCAACACTTCTTTTTCCAATCCTATCACCACAACAGCTAAGATGTCTTCCGAACTCTGGTATGTCGCCTACGTGTTGCCCCCCTTCCCAAGCTCCTGTCCATCCCTCGGAGCTTCGATCATCAATGATTCAAGGATTCCGACATCTCTACGCGCGCGAATACTTACCCAAAATCACCAATTACTAACAATTTTTGCCCTCGCAGCCCCGTCTATGCGGTTCGTCACCCCCTGCTCCGGCTCCCGATTCCATGACGTCGTACTCGTACACGATGAGCTATTTCAGCATGGCCTCGACACCTCGGAATTCAATCAGCTAATCTCAATAACATTTAGCCCTTCTTCGGTGCCATGGGCTGCACAGTCGCTATCGTCTTCACCTGCCTTGGTGCCTCCTACGGCACCGCCAAGTCTGGTGTCGGCATCGCGGCTATGGGTGTTCTCCGCCCCGACCTGATCGTCAAGAGTACGGCCGCGTTCCCCTCCCGAATCTCTCATACCTCGAGCCCTGCATGTGGCTAACGCGCGCTTTAGACATTGTTCCCGTCATTATGGCTGGTATCATTGGTATCTACGGTCTCGTCGTCTCAGTCCTTATCTCAGACGGTCTCCAGCAGACTATGCCTCTCTACACTGGCTTCATCCAGTTCGGTGCCGGTCTGGCTGTCGGTCTCGCCGGTCTCGCCGCCGGTTTCGCCATTGGCATTGTCGGCGACGCTGGTGTTCGTGGTACCGCGCAACAGCCTCGTCTCTTCGTCGGAATGATCCTGATTCTCATTTTCGCCGAAGTTCTGGGTAAGGTCCTCGCTTTGGGGTCATCTGGCTCTTGACTAACGTGGTCCAGGTCTTTACGGCCTCATTGTCGCCCTGCTCATGAACTCCAAGGCGACTCTGAACACCACCTGCTAAGGGTCATCTCGACAATATCTCTCCCAGGCGTCGAAGGGTCGACAAGCTGTACCTACACAAGTGATCCTTTTTCGGTGCCCGGGCATTGGGACTATTCAAACCTGCGAGATCCTACTCGCAACTTTCATACGGTAAACGGAGTTGTCCGGCGAACGGAGGGGGAACTTGGGGCACATGGCAGGAATAACGAATCGCGCCATCCGGGTTCCAGGTCAAGGGGCAATTCGCTGGAGAATGCACGCCGTATTGTACTATTGTGACACCATGCTATCCATTTTTTCTCGGCGGACTCTCATCATAGACGGGTGATGGGGAGGAGGTGTAGTCTAGCTTGACAGTAATGCTTCCATGCTCGATTTGCTTCGCCTGGGTGTTCTTTGGTCACATGTTTCGTTGGTCAACCATTCTGACCGTCCGCGGCAACATGGGAGGCCTCACTTACGCTAGTCTTTCCCTTCCTTGGATAACATGCTCGGTCATGTATGTTCGTAATAAATGATATCACCCGGCGTGCGTGATGCCATTTGACAGACTTCACTCACAGAACACGACACACCATTTCATAATCTACACTTTCTCATCGCACACGACAGTCCCAGTTCCATACGAGGGACAGTCAAATTGATACCATCGACATCGTTAACTGAAGGTATAAAGAAACTAGAGTACGTATACTAGCCATGCCGTCTAGAAAGCTCAGCCCACGATTACAACAAGTAAATTGCCCATGTTCCGCAACGCTTTTCATGCAGCCTTTAAGCCCGCTACCGCGCACCCCCGGGATATATACGGCTCATCCCTTCCCGTCTCTTCGCCCGCCGTAATTATAAACCCGATGACTTCTAAAAAAAGATTACTCTTTAGAAAGGCCAGATGCATGAGCGCGATGAAATATTCGCCTGTGGACGTATCCAAATATGTATAAGAAGAGGCAGGGTGGCGCGCGCCCCTGTTCATCCATGTTACGACAGGTCTCTGTGTGAACTGTCATGACATGCATTTTAGATGACGTACTATTAATGAGAAGTCAGTCAAGTTTCATACTGTGGTCAGAAAAGGGCGGGCACATACCGGAATAAGAAGGTACGGCACCTGGCGCTCGTACTCGAGCCAAGCCTCGCCGTACTTCTGCCTGCACTTGCGGATGTCGCGAGCCGCACGGTGGGCAATCATGCCGCAGAAGAAGACGGGGTAGAACCAAGGGAAGGGGCTGTTGAAACCTGTGATGAGACCCCAGCAGATGGCGAAGAAGGCATCGCAGGTGTAGTGAACCTTGC